CGAATTGGATCTGTACTTCGGCTCTGAGGAATACGGTTTGCGGAGACGCAGCGCATCGGCGTGAAATCTTGCCGTCTGCGCGGAGTGCGGATTGGGCAAGTCGTCGCCTACCTGACATAAGGACGTAACTACACTCTGCAATGAACCCTGTCTTCCATACAATTCAATGCTTTTCCGGGCTCATCTCAATGCGTAGTTGCGCCCTTATGTCAGCCAAGCGACGAGGTGTGTTAACCTACCCGCGACCGTAATCACAAAGCTCATAACTGTTTCCACGGATCCACGCTCGGTGCACGTAAGACACCAGATAGGCATCTCTTGGAAACTTTGAATCAGTTAGGCACCCTCAACGCTCCCATCGTCTGAATTTTGATGCGTCCAGGTGCTTGCGATTTCTCAATGCGTGCGGTCAATGTGATTCAAAGAAAATGAACACAGTGCTTAAAATGCTATACAATTTTGAAAATTGTCTGGAAAGGCCCCCCTGGACCCCTTTAATGACCCCCCTCCCACCGTTCAAGGTGTCTGGATCCACCGATGGTTTGAAATCCTCTACAATATAGTAAAATCCTTTGCAGCATAGTGAATGACACTTTGCCTCCTTGACTGATTGTGAGTACCTTCATCACTAACCACTCTGTCAGGATACAAAAAATCGACCACATTTATTCTTTTACCAGTCATTATTAATTGATTTGGCATTCATTATTCAAAGTAATGAAGAGCTCAGACATGATCATTTCGCAAACAAATGCGTAATCACTAAACTTAGTTCCAGACATTTTTGGGGAAGGGAATAAATCCGGAGACAATGATGTGAAACCAGTTGAAAATTTTTATTTTACTTGAAAAGTTAATTGAATAACTAAATGACCTATAATTGTAGTGATTTTTATCAACAAGTCACTTCAGCACACGACTAAGAATGAGTACAATTAGAAAAAGATCGTGAGATTCAAAAACAAGTTGCGTTGACACGGAATGACCTTGCCTAAAAACTTTCGATGTGACCGTATTACTCACGTTATTGGTAGAAATTAGTAGATGAGATATGGGGTTCTTGCCACAGCTGTTGTCAGATCGTGCAAATAAATAAATAATTATTTATCCGAGAGACTTGGCAACACCGCGATGTATCTGTTGTCAAATTTATCCGATATATCCATATATATTCTAGCGACTTGGCAACGCTNGATAAATTTGACAACAGATACATCGCGGTGTTGCCAAGTCTCTCGGATAAATAATTATTTATTTATTTGCACGATCTGACAACAGCTGTGGCAAGAACCCCATATCTCATCTACTGAAATTGATTTCAACATTACGACCAAAATTAGGATAGGTACACAGTAAAACCTTTAGAATATGATACGAAAGTATGTTTTGCAAGTTCAACTACTGAGGTACGACGTATCAAAAGGTAACTTGTAAACTGTAACTCTACAGTCCGCAGTGTTCCGTTTTTTTTCAGGATGCGCTTGTTTTTCTACCTCTGCGTTAAAGTCTCCAAGCTATACGTCAGTTGAGCAAACACGCTACTTCGAATCAACGTGATGTTACTATGTGCGACATAGCTTTTCCAGCTCTTCGAACACTCCTGCTAGCAAAGGACGTACCTTTTTTCAGAATTAGTTTATTTTCCTAACTCCGCGTTAAAGTCTCCGAGCTATACGTCAGCTGCGCGAACACACTGGAACAAACATGATGTTTCGTTGTGTGGTAGCTTTTCCAGCAAGTACTCTTGCTGGCAATGGGCATGCAGATATGGACTTGATTAATATTGACGAAAGCTGGATGTATTGTCGTGACCCTGACCTCAAAATGGGTAAAACCATGGGTTTCACTGATAGAAGAACTGTTCAGAAACGATGATCTTACATCACGTAGATTTATTTTAGCATCATCATAGTCGATTACCAGTGCTTTCGAGCATTTTGGTCCATAAATTCACAGAAAGCTGTGTCATAATCCGCTCCCGCAGTGATACGCTGCCATGCTAAGAGAGAACGCCGTATGAACATTCGAGAGTTGCCAAATGTCCTCCGATAAAATGTTTATTTTCTAGGAAAGTTGTGTGAAATTTTTCCTTTAAATTTTCAAAATTTTTAGGTGCAATTGCGAACAAAATTATCTGAAAAATTGGGAGGGAAATATTCATAAATTTACCAGAAAATTCGCGTTTTATCAAAGGAAATTTGGCAACGCCTGAAGGTTCATACGGCGTTTTTCCTCAGCACGGCAGGACGGTTATCACCAATCACCGCAAACTTGTAGGCCCGGTTTAGTCTTTGTTGAGCAGCCCTTAACCGCAATGTTCGAGATGTAATCGAGGTGTCCACGTGAAATCGAAACAGTTACTTTCAAACATTTTCATTACGACGAGCCCAATTTCCATACTTTCATAACTACAGGGAGGCAAATACTACATGCTACACCGAAAAAAATAATATGCTGTTTTAGCATCTAGGATGCCAAAAATGTGTCTGGTGATCCCAAGATGCTACCTTTACTGCCCCCGCAGTTAATTTTACATCCTGTGAATGCAAATTCAACTGCGGGGGCAGTAAAGGCAGCATCTTGGGATCACTAGACACATTTTTGACATCCTAGATGCTAAAATAGCATATTATTTTTTTCAGTGTACGCATCATTAGCTTTTCTTTACTCAAGGTGAAATTCCAAGATTCTACCGAGTGGAAACTTCATTGAGATTTTAGAATTGTCAGCCGAATATTTTCTTGCCGAATATGTCACCCGTTCATCTAGCATGAGTTGGAACAGCAGGCGAGTTCGGCACACACTTTGATGTTGTGATTAGTCATATTAGGGAATACCGGTCGGGCACGGAACTTCAAAGGTCAACTCAAGGCTGTCGCGGCTCCTGTCGGTGTCGTAATTGGTGGTGCCATCACAGCCTCCGGCGACCGAGTAAATATTTTTCACTGAGATAAAATCCCGCCGCACTGCGTTCTTTCGAATGATTCATTCGTCTCTAAAAATACGGTAAATGTCAAAATATGTTGGCTGTTATATTTTTCAAGATTTCCTTGATCGGAACTGCGCATTTCAACGCGCTCTCACAAATATTTTTGAGCGCTTTTTCATGAATTCAATACCTGCATTTTAAGACGTTCAAATGAAAATAAGGGTGTCTACACTTGTGCTCTAAATTTTTTGTTTTTTTGTTGGGCTAAACCTTGTTTACAAGATTAATCGGTTGTCATCTTACTAAGTTTACCCGGTCATAAGCGAGGCGCGACTCTTATTGAAATAATGAGAATGTCCATCATTTTATACAACTTTTAGCGTAAGTTCCATTGACCAAATATGAAATAAATTGTACTTAGGTAGTCCCGCGTACTCCAGGCATTTACGTTTTTTACATGATTTTTAGTAAAATGAACAGATCTTTCTCGGCAAAAATTCACAATATTGATACGCACACATTATTGATGTAGCACTTTTTCTGCCATATTTCAAAACAGAGAGCCTTGATTCCGTTTCAGTTTCCACTCATGTACAGTGATGTAGTTTATAAAATATGCGAGGACGTGGTTCCTGGAAAATATTCTCTCGTTCAATGAGTATGGGCTTTTACGTAAGGGAAGGAACCTATTTTGTTCAGAGTTAAACATGGACACTGTAATCAATAATTAGCTATGCTGTATTCCTTAGTGCGTCGGAATGCAAGCTGATCTTCAGCGCCTATAAGGAGAAGTAAAATGCTTTGCTCCCTTCTTTTTTCTCCATTTAAAATCGGATAATTATGGGTTGCATGTGTGTAGGGGTCCTCCTCCTCGAAGGCGGTGCCCTTTGGCGTTTTAAGGAGGAGGAATCAATTACTACGTTAAGGTGACGTGAGCGGTAAGATGTTCGAAATTTTTCAAATATTGAAACGAAAAGAAGAGTAAATTTAGGACTTGGGAATTCAGGATGGAAAAGTTAACGTTAGATGATGAAAATAACTGTTCGTTAAAAGAAGAAGGGGAAAAAAAAGAACCAAAGATGAAAACTGACTTCGGACACCACCATGTTAGAGTGTTTACTTCATGGGGGTTGGGGGGGGGAGAGGGGATCTTTAAACCGTGTGTGGTCGATTTCTTAGGGCATATAATGATGACACCGTTTAATATATCATCATCATTGCCCTAAGTAATTTATCAGTGAGGCTGTTAGTTGAATATATCATGTATGAGCATGAATAATCTTCGATTGGATTCAATGAAAGGTGTCGCAAATTCTTAGATCAACAAGTTATACAAATATTCGGCTCATCTCTACGAGTGCGTTGACCTCCTCGCATTCCTTCACGTTTGAAGTCCTCAAGAAGCGCTTCATTTTGAGTTTCAAGATTTTCTGAACGAAGCGATTATTAATGCTCCTCTGTCTTGATTCGCAGGGAACCTTTACTCATGCCCTTTTAAACATTGAAAACCGGATTGTGGTACAGCCATGGCGTTTCAGTTGTACGTATACCTTGACGATTGGACGTATTTATGCTGAAAAAGAACTATTAACACATGATTTAAGGAACTATGCGCGTAGGATATGTTTACTGGATAGCCTCTAAAGATTTAATTCATGTGTGCATACTTCCTTTTAGCAGCTCTAGCATACATTCGTCTGGTTGTTAGGTATACCATTGAGTTTTTATGGAACTGAATATTGACGTAATGATACCCGAGGAATAGGTATTTCTACAACTGATCATGCAACCTGATTTTGTTTGATCGAGAAAAATAAATCCTGCTTGCAGATGCTGACGAGTTCATTTTCGTCCAACCACAGCTCGGCAATACTAGCCGACCGGCTCGAAGACTAGGTGTACAATCGAATTTCAATGGTCAATACTTATGGTAAAACCGAAACTTTCACGTTCCCCCCCCCCCCCCCNCCTGTATGTGCACATGTGTGTATTGGATCGTCCAACAAAGAATGTTGCAAGGATAAAATATAACAATTCTGAGGGCAGAGAAGAGGTGGAAAATAAATCGTACCTTCAAAAATTGGTATCCAAAAATATCCTAAAATCGCACTTTCAATTCACTCACTTCAACACTGTCACAAAATCCCTCGACGAGAGGCTATCCCATCCGAGTGTCACCGAGCAAGTGTATCAACGTGAACAGCACTTTTCCATAACACGTAGGGAAAACACAGATTCTAGAGGATCGTAGGACGAGCACCGATTCGAAAAACCACAACCGATCCCGGGGAAAACTTTACACCTTATGGTTCGAACTGGCCGGGAAAAGGATCTCGGGGAAACGGAAAAAATGTCGTAAGCGTCGGGGGAAAACCGGGAAAAGGGGGAAAGCACTGGGGACCGGGAAAATGTCGGGGCGACGCGACGTCAAGCGGAGAGCAGACACGAAGACACATCCATCGACGCGCGGTGCGGAGCTGAGACTACTCAACAGTGGAGTCACTGAACAACCTTGAGCGTGGACCGCCGCGCCGCCGCTGCCACACTGCCACTTCCACCGCAACCACCGCCTCCTCCGCGGCCGCCGCACAGTGGATCGAGTCAATTGAGGAGGTCGGACAACATTTGGAAACGTTAAAAGCTCATAACTCCGTTCGTACGAAATTTTGAGGTTTTAAATGTGGTTCCATTGGTTTTCTCGTAAAATTTTCTTCTTAAAACACCCCTTGAAATTTAAAATTCGATGAAGTTAACATCAAAAATTGCAGTTTTAGTCAACAATTTCATGCCCGACCTCTCCAATTGACTCGATCCACTGTGCGCCGCCGCGTCCTAGCCCCAGCTCCAGCCGCGTCCAGGAGATCAACCCCATTCGTCTTACCCTACCCCCGCCCCATCGCCATGGGTCCTCATCTCCTGGATCAACCCATTTATGAATGTGGACCATTATCTGCTATTATGACGTCACTAATCGTCGATCCTAGCTTGGAGCTAGTCTCTGGGTTCGTTGGCCTGGCCGCACCGTGTGCACACGTTAGGTATACATGCTTTACGGCTACTTATGGTTGGAGTACCTTTATAGGGAGAGTATGGACAAATCGAGAATTTGGAGGTCACATTTGATCATGAAGTTCTTAGGGCTCAAAAAGGCAGCCGACCTATGAACTCGAAGTATCCAGTGGTACTAATTCAAACTCCGATAGAGGCATAAAAAATTATAAAAGCACGTATAAAACTTTGATTTTGCATACATTTTTCAGTTTCCAAGTCTCGATTCTTAAAAACGCATGTTTACAATGCGCCAGTTTACAAAGCGATAGATAAAGAGGACGGAAAGGATATGGAGGGATCCTATTGGTAGAAGCGGGTAGTTGCGATGGACAAAGGAAATACGCAATTAATTAACGACACCCCACGAGAGATCCCTCAGTTGGTCCACCACTTACCTTCTTAGTCTAAAAAAACCAACCAACATTCAAACCAACCAACATTTCAACCAATAGGATAGCTTCATAATCCTTATGTCTTCTTTGCCAACAGCTTTGTCTATTAATTTAGATAGTTAGCCCTTTTTTTGTCCCTCGCAAGTCACTGTGTTTGACCACGACTACTCACCAATGGAGATGTTGCAAGTGTAAGGAATTTGCGATTTGACCATTGATTCTTATGTAAAAGTTCGGGAGAAACACGATAGTGCCACTGGTTTTCTCTGAAATCATCTCCCAAGCTCAAAAAAAGCTCTCAAGTTGAGGCAAAAATGGAGGGGATACCCCACCCTACCCTGAGAGTCCACGTCTACATCAAGACAAACTCTCCATGCAAAGATAGGGAGCAAATACATTAGCAGGGTTGCCGTGTTTCCAGTTGTGTAGTCCCCAAATAAAGTGGCAACTCTGCTAATGTATTTGCTCCCTATCTTTGCATCGAAAGTTTGTCTTGATGTAGAGGTGAACTCTCAGGGTAGGGTGGGATATCCCCTCCATTTTGGCCTCACTTTGAGAGCTTTTTTGAGCTTGGGAGATGATTTCAGAGAAAACCAGTGGCACCATCGTGTTTCTCGCGAACTTTTACCTACGAATCAACAGCCAAATCGCAAATTCCTCACACATGCAACACCTCCATTCCGTTGAATTTTCAATACTATTCGAATCGCAGTCGTACCCCTATTTTCGGGAGCGCATATCCGCAAGGCCGTGCTCCAGTGCTATCGATGCAGTCGCTCGATAAAGTTATAAAACATCCCGAGCAGGCTAGACACGATGATGGTTGTTTGCTCGACGGGCTCATTTTTCCATCGGATAAACTAGATGAATTATTAATCGCGAGCCTCGCTATCTAACGAGATCCGAGGGAGGAGACCCAGCCTCGCCGCTCCGGGCTCCCGGCTCCTGGCTCCGGGACTTAGTGGTTTGAAAAATTAAAAGAAGTACGGCAGAGAATTATCAGGTCTTAGACTCGCGCTCGTGTAGACTACGCGCGAGGGGAGGATTTTTGCATAGAATATGTCTGATGTCTGCCCCCTTGCCCATGTTCCTACTCGCGTCTGCGTGCCTCGGCTCAAGCAAACCTAGTAGAACGGCAGACTATCACACATAGGAGGAGAAAAACCCATTCTGTCTCACTCGGTAAACTTGCTCTTTGGTTTATGGCCCGGTAATTATCGGGATATTTTATTAAGATTCAGGCGCGCAGATAGCCCGGGACATTCATTTCAGAATAATCATCGCCTGAAAAAACTCAGCGGGGGAAAGAGTAGGTATCGTTGCTGTTACAATGCGCATGAGTTCTAGGCCCTACTCCTTTTTTAATCGCACAGTTGTACATCGTTAAAACGGTTGGTTATCAGTTGTGTATCGGTTTCCGAAGTGGGGTCAAAAACGGGACGTTTCCCCAGAAAATCGTCATTTCTGGGAAGGTCAAAACTAGGTGCGACTAAAGTTTTTGCGGCGAAATGAGTTTAAATGACGATAGTTTAATTATTGCACCAGCAAGGAAGGAAAATTTTGCCCACTAGTTGGCTTAATCTCAGTTTTCTATAATGAACAATTTTATTCAGTATTGTTAAATCAATCATAAGTACTGTTTAATCCATCAAAAGATTTAATTGGAGGTATAAAGTGGACTGCGTTCAGCAGGAAGCAACCAAGTCACATCAGCTATTGCCAATTATAACTGGCAATTTACTTGTTTACAAGGGAATGTTTGTGTGGATTCTTTTGAAAATTTCAAGAAATTCGCTTCGTTCTATGCAGAAAATTTACTGAAATGTTTACAAAAATCCGCACAACCGTTTTCATGTAAAAAATTAAATTGCCCAAGTGAATTTGGCAGTAGCTGATGTGGCTTTGTTTCTTTTATATTTAACGCGATCCAAATGTTGTCACCCGGAATTATCCCACCACTGCACTGCGTGCTACTGTGTTTAAGCATCTTACAAAAAATTTATGAGCTGATTAAGACTGCTTCGATGTATCACACCAAAATTGTTGTGATTCAAACAATTCAAAGTTTTTAAAACGAAGGAAAATTACTCGTTATGATTGTCTTGCATTCAACCTACTTATTGCACATGCCTGTAAACATAAGACAGTTTTACCGAAATTATAATCAGGATACACTTCAAATTTTCAAATGATCATCGTTCAGACAGCATTCTTATATCTCCTCAGTAAAAAGTGAATAAAACTCTTTCTTCCGCTGCTAAAAATGAAATCACACTCCGTGACTTTTACGCGCATCTCGTAATGGAAGCTTACTGCAAGCGAACTCGAGACTGATTATGCTGCCAATGCTGGCGTATGATGATCGATGTTGGGAATTTTTATCGGCAACACGTCTTCTCAATTTATTGCTTCACGAATTATACAGGGTGCACGATAATCATACTTGTACAAAAAGAGACGAGGGGGACTCAAGGAAGGAAATAATGAGGATTCTCACGGAGCGTGTAAAAGTTGCATGGTATAAGCGATGGTGAGTGGTTCATGTTCAAAATGTTTTTTCAGATATTTGGAACTATTTCTGAAGTCTCTAACGCCTCGAAGCGATTAAATCATGTCAAACAATTATATTCCGTGAAATTGAGCTTTGACCCTTGGTTCGTTACAAAAAACATAAAATTGGGTTCTGATCTTTTCATCTTTATCGAAAGTCTTAAAAATAGCATTATTTTGTCTGAAATCCAAAGCTTAATGGTTGGAATTCGGCGTGTTCAACGCATCGAAGTAAAATCGGTGGATGACACCATTAATTGCTGTCAATGCCCAAAACGGATAGCTTTATCTTGGTCTCTCCCCTTATTAAGTATCTTATCACTAACCACTGTGTCGGAGTCTCTGAGTGGAAAAAGCGACCAAATTTTCTCTTTTCCCAATGATAGTCCCATGATTTGGCTTTCATCGTTTAAAGTAATGAACAGTTGATTAGACACGATTATTTAGCAAGAGATTGTTAGTCACTAAACTTTACGGCTAAAAATAATTACGGGTTAGGGTAAAGCTGTCAAAAATAACTATAATATACAAGTGCATTTTGTAAATTGGAGCACTGAGGTACGACGCGACATATCAAAAAGTCACTTGTAATTTGTAAACCTGCAGCCCGCAGTATTCGGTTTTTTCCCCCCAGGATGAGCCGCTTGTTTTCTTGACTCTGCGTTAAAGTCTCCAAACTATACGTCAGCTGAGCGAATACACTACTAAGAGTCAACGTGGAGTCACTATGTGCGATAGTTCTTCCAGCTCTTTCACGCACTTCTTCTAGCAACGTATATACTTATGTCTTCTTCGGAATGAGCTTATTTTCATTACTCAGCGTTAAAGTCTCCGAGCTATATGTCTGTTCTGAGAACACTTTATACTTAGATTCAACGTGGTATCACAGTATGTGGTATGTGCGGTAGCTTTTCAAGTTCTTTCAAGCACACCCCTCTTTTATACAATACTGTGAGTGTTTGTGCACCACATTTGACCAAGAAACTCTTTAAAACGCTGCAGACTTTGAAACTTTCACGTCTTCATTGAATAACGCACATCGTAGTGCCTTTCGATCTGCGGTTGTGGCATGCACTTTAGACGTACTTCCTGAGTTATTTCAAAGTCTTTTTTAGTCAAATTGTAAGTTCAAATACCTAAGGCACCCACAGCGTAATGTGATAATTGGAACTTCTCAATAAATGTTCCAAAATCTAGGAATTACCAATTGATCGAACGACTTTAGAATCGCCCTCTATAGGTAATGCCGAAGAACTACCTTACTCTGGAAAAAAAAAACACATTGGATCTAGAGTCCAGACGCTTAAAAACATCGACAAGAAAAAGTACTCTTGATTCAATCAGAATCTCGCTTAAATCAAGAATGAAGCCTCTGAATTTAAGCGGATTTCGTTTTGATTCGAGCAAAAATCCGATTGAATCAAAAGTATTTGTTCTTGTCGATGTTTTCAAGAGTCTGGACTCTAGATCCAATGTGTTTTTTTCCAGAGTGTAGATTAAAAGT